CTCTCGTTAATGCTTCGACTATAGACCGTTCAGAATTATACTAAGTGACAAGATGTCAGTCTCAACATCAGAAGACTCATTCTGATAAACATCTTATAATATAATTCTAGGAATGCAATTAAGAGTTTACATTAGCATGAGATGTTTGTAAACTTAATGCATCTGCCTTTACATGATAGAAAATATCTAAGATATTACAACAGCAGTTGGCCATAAGGGCACCAACTCCAACATTCTCCCACTTGCACTATGGCCAATCGGGCATCGGTCGAATGCCCATTGACCTAGTGTGACCCTCATGCTTTAGCTTTCCCAAGGGCTTGGTCAGGGGGTCGGCTATGTTGTCGTCTGTTCCTACTTTGCAAATCTCTACATCACCTCTGTCTATGATTTCTCGTATGATGTGATAACGTCGTACAATGTTCTTGGTCTTTTGGTGAGATCGTGGTTCCTTTGCCTCTGCAATGGCCCCAGTGTTGTCGCAAAACAACGGGATTGGGTCATTAATGCTAGGAACCACTCCAAGTTCAGAAATGAACTTCTTTATCCAAACACCTTCCTTTGCTGCTTCAGCAGCAGCCATGTACTCAGCCTCTGTAGTTGAATCAGCGGTTGTGTCCTGTTTAGAACTCTTCCAGCTAAAAGCTCCGCCATTCAGGCAAACCACATACCCTACTTGTGACTTGTAATCGTCTCGATCGGTTTGGAAGCTCGCATCAGTGTAACCGATCACTTTCAGCTCTTCCTCACCTCCATATACCAGGAATGCATCCTTAGTATTCCGAAGATACTTTACGATGTTCTTGACCGCTGTCCAGTGTGCTTCACCTGGATTCCCCTGGTATCTGCTGGTCACACTTAAAGCGAATGAGACATCAGGTCTAGTACATATCATGGCATACATGATGGAACCAACTGCAGAAGCATATGGGACCTTCATCATGAGTTCCTTCTGCTCGGGAGTAGAAGGACTCTGGCTCTTGGAAAGAGCCGTGCCAGGTAACATAGGTAAGGATCCCTTTTTCGAGTTAGACATGCTAAATCGATCAAGGACCTTATATATATATGTACTTTGACATAGACCTATCAACTTTCTTGACCTATCACGGTAGATTCTTATGCCAAAGGCATAACTAGCATTCCCCAAGTCCTTCATGGCAAAGTTCTTGCTCAACCAAGTCTTTACAGATGTGAGAGCAGGAACATTGTTACCCATTAACAATATGTCATCGACATATAGGATTAGGAATACTATCACACTCCCACTGACCTTTTTGTAAACATAAGATTCGTCAGAATTCTTCTCGAAACAAAAACTAGTGATGGTTTCATCAAAGCGTATATTCCAACTCCGAGATGCTTTTTTCAATCCGTAGATTGACCGTTGCAGCTTACAGACTTTGGCAGATTCACCAGCAATTATAAAACCGTCAGGATGTGTCATATAGACATCCTCTTTGAGGTTCCCATTAAGGAAATCCGTCTTGATGTCCATCTGTCAAATCTCGTAATCATAGAATGCTGCAATCACAAGCATTATCCGAATGGACTTCAGCATCACAACTGGAGAAAAGGTTTCGTCATAGTCAATTCCATGGATTTTTCTATAACCTTTTGCTACCAATCTAGCTTTGAAGGTATGAACCTTTCCGTCTACGTCTATTTTCTTTTTGAAAATCCACTTGCACCCTATGGGTTTTATCCCTTCGGGCGCATCAACCAAGGTCAGACTTGGTTTGTGTACATAGACTCCATTTCAGATTTCATGGCATTAAGCCATTGTTCGGATTCGGGGCACATGATTGCCTCGAGGTAGGTCTCAGGTTCGCCTTGGTCTACCAGCAACACATCACCTTCATCAGATACAAGGAAGCTGTATCTAACCGGAGGATTACGCATCCGGTCTGACCTACGTGGTAAAACCTGAGCCAGTCGAGATACTAAATCTTGACGCTCGGGTTCTACTGCTATTGAGATCTCTTTTTGTGGTTCTCAAATTTCTTCAAGGTCTACCTTTCTCCCACTAGAAATAGCAGAGAGAAACTCCTTCTCAAGGAAGGTTCCGTTCCGAGCAACAAAGATTTTGTTATCGGTCGGATGATAGAACTCATACCCTTTCGTTTCCTTAGGGTATGCCACAAATTTACACCTGTCAGATTTGGAATCTAGCTTACCAGATGTCATGAGGCGTTTAACGTATACATCACAACCCAAAATCCTCAAGTACGACAAATTTGGTTTTGTCCCACGCCATAGCTCGTATGGTGTGCTCTCAACAGCCTTAGATGGTACGTGATTGAGTGTGTGTGCGGCTGTTAATAGTGCTTTTCCCAAAAAACCTTTGGTATTGTTGTCAGACTCATCATACTCCGAACCATATCGAGCAGCGTTCGGTTTCTCCTTTCAGACACTCCATTTAATTGGGGTGTACCGGGAGGAGTCAGCTGGGATAGGATCCCGTGCTCTTTTAGATAGTCATCAAACTCCAGGCTTAAGTACTCCCCTCGTCTATCCGAGCGGAGGGTCTTGATACTTTTGCCTAACTATTTCTCTACTTCGTTTCTGAATTCTTTGAATTTGTCAAAGCATTCTGATTTGTGTTTCATGAGATACACATATCCATATCGACTGAGATCGTCAGTAAATGTGACGAAGTATGAGAAACCACCCCTAGCTTTAGTGTTGATTGGGCCACACACATCAGAGTTTATGAGGCCTAATATATCACTCGCCCTTTCACCGTGACCGGTGAATGGAGCCTTTGTCATTTTACCAAGTAAACAAGATTGGCATACATCATAAGACTCGAGGTCAAATGAATCAAGTACGCTAGAGTGACGTAACTTAGATATGCGTTTCTCGTTAATGTGGCCCAAACGACAATGCCAAAGGTATGTGAGATTCAAACTGTTTGGTTTGCTTCTATTAACATCTACGTTATAAACAATGGCGTCTAAGTCTAAGATATAAAGACCATTGGTCATCTTAGCAGTTGCATAGTAAGTATCATTTCTGAAAACCGAAAGGCACTTGTCTTTGACGTTAATAGAAAATCCTGCTTTGTCAAGATAGGACACAGAAATGATATTCCTGCTAATGGCAGGTACAAACAAGCAATTGTTTAAATGCAACAACAAGCCACTAGGGAGAGATAGAACATAAGTTCCTACAGCCAGCGCATTGACAAGTGCTCCATTTCCGACCT